GACCAAAAATCTTGTTTGGCTGTGTCGGGTGGAGGAGGGCACTGAAGGCACAAACTTGGGCCAGATAGCGTGGCTTGAACGCAACAATCGATTGCGCATCGCATCAGCCCGGGAAACACAATGCGTTAGGTTAAATCTGCGGGTTTTGCCGTATTGCCTGGATAGCAAGATGCGCCGGAAAGTAAGACGCACCCCGAATGAACGCCATTCGACTCCAAAACGCCACCGTCACTCCTCATGGCTTGGACATTCCTTCTCCTCCTCGAAGACACCGCTGGTGGGACCCTGAAACGCCGTGGAGGTGCGAGACGCCCTTTTCTGGGGGGTGGCGAGACGTGGCCGGATCTTTTTAGAAGTGAAAATCATCAAAAGACACAAATTACGCACGGGCGCGTAAGTCACAACTGACTTTGTTTCGGTAAAGTCACGTCGAAGGGATAATTGTAACATGTTTTGTTTAAAGATTGAGAACCGAAGGGGGTGCAAGGCTGCAGCAAAGGTGAAGAACCACTGCTCGAACGCACGAGAACATCACCGATGCGCACATCTCCTTCATGAATGGGAGTATTAAAGACGCAAGCCACAGGAGTGCGAATGTGCTTGCACAACCCAAACTATGGGCTGTACCAAGTGGACCCAGAGACACCCATAGAGACACACAGAGATACATAGAGACACACAGACACCCATAGAGACACACAGAGATACATAGAGACACACAGACACCCATAGAGACACACAGAGATACATAGAGACGCACAGACACCCATAGAGACACACAGATACACAGAGACCCATATAGACAGACAGAGATACACAGAGATACACAGACACCCATAGAGACAGAGTTACATAGAGGGTCATAGAGATACACAGATATCCATATAGACACGCAGAGATACATAGAGACGCATAGAGACACATAGAGATACACAGAGACGCATAGAGACACGTAGAGATACACAGAGACGCATAGAGACACGTAGAGATTCAGTAATACACCGATGTAGTCTCATTTAACGTCGTTTCTCAAACATGTCGTCGCTTTATTAACACCGCTACCCAATTAGCGTCGCCCCCCCACACACACTCACGTCGCTGACAGCATCGTAGCCTCCGACGTTTTTCGTTATCCGTCACCTCCACCACCACCACCACCCACTGCTACCCCTGTACATCGCTTCGATTGACGTTTCAATGTTCATCGTCGCACCTTTCAGGAACGCATCCCCGGTGTGAACCTGGGTGTTGCTGGTGCACGAACGCTCACAGAGCAGAAACATCAACGAGGAATTGTCCCCGCGGGAGCCGGTGGCGAGTCACGTGGCCAGTCTCATCAATCTGACATCGGCGAGCCAACGCGCGCGTTCGGTGTGTTTGTGTATGCACGTTGAACTTCTTTCGCACCGTACGTAGCCAACCGCGCTAATCGGGCGTGCGCGGGGAAGGACAACAAACCAAATACAAAGAGCAGCTCTAAAGAAATGAGTTTTCAATCTAGATTAGTTAACAGTGCATGGCTCCTCCCAGTGACTTCCTCATATCGGGAGGAAGAGCGTTCCAGACGGCCGCGGAAGCGCTTCTGAAAGCGCCGCGCGATGATGCGGTGACCACCGTCTTTGTTTGGTGGCTGAGTCAAAAATCGCTGCTGCCGCAATCTCTGCTGCTGTTGTTGTTGTTGTTGCTGTTGTTGTTGTGTTTGTTGCTGTTGTTGTTCAAAACAGAATCACAGGCGGCTAAGGTGTCCCACTGGGTGTGAGAGAGTAACCATCGCTTCTCGATGCCTCTTTGCCAGCCCTAACCCTCACCCCGTACACACGATATAACCCTAAGAGCCCTAACCCTAATCCGAACGATGCTAATTCTAACAAACCATCCTTGACCCTATACCCTGGCCGTCACGTGGCCTGTCGACATCCCACCCAGAGTTCACGTCACGGTGACATCGTTTTCGCACGTGTGTCGAACGATGCACGCTCGCTTACACGTGGCGCGCAAACGCACAACACCAACCTCCTGACCGTGGGAGGTCGCTCCCTCTGCTCTGCTGCTCCCTCGAGGTCCGGAATTCCCATCTCTAAAAACAGACAACAGTGGCCTCCTCTCCTCGGCTGCGAGGAACCACAGACAAGGAGCGGGCAGGAAGCAGCAGCAGCAGCAGCCACGCAACGATTGCCCCAGGCTCTGCGGTCCTCTATTTATCAAGATGTTATCGGCCAGAGGCGCGAGGAAGAACCACAGACGAGGAGCAGAAAGGCAGTATCAGCAGTAGCAGCCACGCGGCAATGAGCCGGCACTTTCAACGATCGCCCCGAGCTCTGCGCTCCTGTATGTATGAGGGTGGTATCGGCCAATTGATAAGCGCTTAAACACGTCGGAGGAAACCGTAGCGCCCGGAGAGAACCCCAAGCGTGCGAGGGAGAAACACTCGATCCCCGTACAGACGGAACAGGTGACAGTCCACATTTGCTGCGCTGCATTTCCCGTCGAGCCAGGGTAGGGCACTTTTGACGGCCGCGGGGCATGGGCTGCGGCGACCCACCAACCCTCGCCGCATCACGATGTCGGGTTGCAAGCCACGTGCGTAGCTGCCGACCACCCAGTTTGATAAGTTCACATTGTTATTGTTTATTGTTAAATGATCAAGTACTGCGTAGAGCGGCGGTGCTTAACCTTTACTGCAGCCTTGCACCCATGTGGCTCTCAATCTTCGAAAACATGTTCAATGTCAATGACTACGTAGGGTGTTGATGAAACAAAGTTAAGTTGTGACTTAAGCGCCCCGTGCTTAATTTGTGTTTTCGATCATTTTTCTTCTAAAAAAAATCTGGCCACGTCTCGCCAGCCCCCAGAAAGGGCATCTCGCACCCCCAGGGGGTGCATCGTGCAGCCCCAGGTGAAGAAGAAGAAGATTGACTGCTTTAGAGTTTCACGGGTATGCTGCATAGCCCTCCGTCTGCGCTTGAACGGCACATGGAGCGAAACGTCGGACATCGTGCCGAACCCAGACTTTACTTTCAGCTGGAATGGTCCGGAACACCGTACCTGGAATTGTTTCGGCAACGCCACAACCCTTTCAGCTCATTTCGTCCTTCACATATTTATAAACCTGTTCGCATGATTATAGGAATATAGGGCACAATAATACAGTATTATGGATAGGCGTACGTTCTATGCTAGTGGTAGTGCCTTATGCCAATAATCCAAGTCAGATTGATGGTTGTCTCAAACTCCAGGGTGATGTGATGCGCCTGGTGCAAGAATCATGATTAGCTTAGGCGCATGCCCGCTTGGCCTGCTGCTCTGCTTGCATGCTCGCTCGCTCTGTGTTTTGATTTAGTGTGCTGATCTTAAAGGTGCATTGAAAAATGTTGACACTCCGACTGATGCTCCTGCTGTTGTGGAGTGACTCAAGCAGCCAGCTATGGCTGCAGAGTTTGGTAGTACATGTTGTTCACGTCGTTTATTGTGAAAATTCGGTCACAGTTCCTATGATCACTGTTTCATTGCTTTTATGGCTTAATTTTGGTGATTTTTGAAAAGTTTTTCGGTTTGGCCATGTTTGTTTGTTGTAGTACAGAGTTAGACTGATGGCCTTAATCTAGGTTGTCTTGTGGTTGTTGTTGTTTGACTTGCATCCCACTTGGGATTTTTGCACACAGTGTTGGTGTACGGTGCTTTTTCTGCAATATTTTGCTGTCTTTTCTTGGATTTTCTGTTTGCACATAGTCACTTTAAGATGTTTTTTGTTCATGTTTTAGTTTTTTTGTCTGTTGCGGTTGCACCCGATTCAAGAGCCGAATGGCTTACAGGGTTATACCTAATAAATGAAACTTGAAACTGTTCTGCTACTCATGCTGCCGCTGGCTAGCCGTCACGGCGGAACAGGGAGCCGAGTGCGTAAAGTCTTCCTTGCCAGTACAGAGCTTCTCCATCCCCAGGACTCCCACTGTGCCTCTCCGTTAGCAGCCCACGGTAACCGGCGTATCGCGACACCAAACCTCCTGAGGATCTCGGAGCTTCAGTGGTCCACCAGAGGCATCTACACCCGCCAACCACTGCCCCGCTGCCTTGTGGGTAAACTTTGGCTAGGGAAGAACACCCACGACTCCGAATCCGCGGTGTTCAACAAATCACATCTCCGGCAGTCCCCTGCAGCTCTGGCCGGACGAAGGTCGTTGTGAGTTCCTCGTGAAGATGGTGGGCGTAGGGACTGCGCATCCTGACCCTCACCTGAATACACTCCGAGCGCAGGCTTCTTGTTCCAGCAGGCCAAAGGACGCGACTGGGAGCAATCCAGCCAAACTCTGCACGGAGGAGGCGTTGGAGTTGCAGGTCACCGAGACACGGGATGGGGCAGCTTCGTGTCTGCTCGGCAGCTTCCACTGTGCCGGAGCAACCCCCCCCCCCCCACCACACTTCTTCTTGTTTCGTATGGTATTGTGAAAAGCAACAATTTTTATTTCTTTCTTAATGATCGTCATAAATGAATGCAAAGGTTCCTTGTCCAGTACAACGATGTGGATGGCGCAGTGTGGATTACGCCCGCACTGCTCACCCCTGACGAGGAAGGGCCTAGAAAAGGTGGTCTAAAAACGGTCCGTTCCACTCACTCCGGGTGTGATAGCCGCTACCACCGGAGCATCACCATTCAGCGGCCGAAAACTCAAGGGAATCCAAGACTCGGTCACTCCTTCAAGCTGCTCCACGGAAACGTTCGCACCCTCCTGGACTCCAGCGAAAAAAGCGACAGACCGCAACAGAAGTTCAGCCTTCTTCTTGGTTCTTTCGTTAAAATCACGTAGAATGAAAATAATAAAATAATAAAAATAAAACATAATAAAATCAATTCTCACGACGTTTCGGCCACAAGGCAGAGTCAGACTCTGCCTTCTCGACAGACCTGTTCTCCACCTGAAGACGGCTGCTTGCGTTGTGGCCGAAACGTCGTGAGAATTATTTTATTATGTTTTATATGTATTATTTTATTATTTTCCATTCTACGTGACTTTACCGAAAGAACCAAGAAGATTAATCCCTGCAGTCACGAAAGCTTTAAATAGAAGCTCAGCCCTCGCGGCCCACGAACTCACATAATACAACCGGGATGTACGGAGTTCCACACATCGAGTCATCCTGCATTGAAGCGAGCGTGGCTGAACGACCACGTGTCACCTGCGTGCCTGATCACCGTCCCCCCGCCCTCCCGTCGAGTTCTCTCCGGGGGGGAGGGGGCAACTCAGCACAGCCAAACGCTCCGCTGGAGGACAGAGAAAGCGCTTCAAGGACCACAGCAAGGACCCGCTGAAGCGCTGTAACATCGATCCCTCAAGCCTGGCACCCCCTGACGCCGGACAGGTCCACCTGGCGGTCCACCTGGCAGTCCACCTGGCGGTCCACCTGGCAGTCCACCTGCGCCAGAGGTATTCAGCAGCACCGGGGAGACGCCGTCTCACAGAGGAGACGCGAGAGACGCACCCGCAGACACCAAGGCGCAGCTGGCATGACGCCATCCGACACCCGACACGCACACCGCGTGTTCCATCTGGGGCAGAGCACGTCCACAGCCGTCCACAAGAGGAGCAATCGTCGTCATCGTCTTTGATGGAGGTGGGGCCGGAGGTGACGCCTGGAGGTGGGGTCGGAGGCGGTGTCTCGGGCGTTTCAGAAGGATTTGCTGCCCTGGGACACAGGCGAGATGCCGTTGTTCAGCACCTCGGCCAGCTCCTGCGCATGCGCGGGGGGAGGGGAGGGGCACAACGAGAGAGACGCGTCGCGAGTGGTGGATCACGTGTGCAGCATGCGTTCACCATGCGTGCATCGTGTGTGCGTGACGTGTGCGTCACGTGTGCGTCCATGTGTGGGTGATGTGTACACAATGTGTGCGTCACGTGTCCATCGTGTGCGTGTACATGTTACAGCCCTCTGCCGATCTACTACTGGACAAAGGCCTCCCCACGTGGAGTTTGTTTGACCATACTTCACCGCGCTGGTCGGCGTGGCTTGGTGAAGACGGAGTGTAATTTTAGTATTTTTATTTGACCAGGTAAGGCCCCAATGAGCTGTGTGGCTCTTTTTCAGAAGCGATCTGGCACATCACGAATGACGGCTCAACGAAGTGGCTTATCATCATCATCATCACGTGGACATTTCTAGCAAGTCGCCGCCAAACACTCTGAACGCGCGACGTTGATTGTAAATGTGGAGCGGGAAAAACCGGAGGACCCGGAGAAAAATCACGCGACCACGGGGAGAGAGAGACACACACACTCCAAATATGCAGCAACAGGCGTCAGGGTTACTGGGAAGTGGAAGGAATAAACTCAACTATAAAGAAACGAGTTTGTCAAATCTAGACGATTCCGAATATCGGAAGGAGGAAGAGCGTTCCAGACGGCCGCACAAGCGCATCTGAATGCGCGCGACGATGCGGTGACCACCGTCTTTGTTCGAAGCCGCTGCTGCTGCTGCGAGGACGAGCGGAGTGTCGCGTGGAGGTGGTTCATGCTCCTTGACGAGATCAGCGAAGTATCGTGGTTCATTTGTGGCGAGCACTTTGCGTGTAGTGAGCGCGACCTTGCGTGTGCGCGAGTGCGTGAGAGCGCGTACGTACGTTGAATCGACCGTTCTATAGGATACGGTGGGGGGGGGGGGGTCAGGCGTACGTAGGCAGGTGGGGGGGGGGGGTGTAAAAAGTCCACGTGCGTACAGGAAGGGGGGGAGGGGTCAAGTTTTGACAGATTTTTTTACGTACCTACGGAATGTATGGCCCCTTGCCGGCCGTGGCTAACATCGGTGACGAGTGAAACCTCATCCAGCCGTGCGTAGCCGACCGTGCCAACCGGAGGTGCGAACCCGGCATGCCGGCGAATGCGAGCCTCACCCTCTCGGTGAGCTCGTGCGTGTGGTGCAGCGAGTGCTCCATCTCCACGAACATGCGGCGCTGCTCGTTGCGAGCCAGGCGGCACGTGAGCCACGCGGACGCGGCGCAGCCCGCCACCCCGACGCCCGCCACGCTCAGCGACGCCACCGCCACGTGCCCCTCCGGACGCCCCGCGGCACCGCCGCCGCCGCGCCAACTCCGCTGGTGGCGCGGCGGCGGCGCTGGTCTCGGCCGCCGCGGTGGTTGCGCAACCGGGCCGGAGGCGGCTGCTTTGGCGGCTGTCGCGCCAGCTGCTGTCCCAGCTGTCTCACCAGCTGTTACACCAGCTGTCCATCCAGCTGTTGTCCCAGCTGTCCATCCAGCTGTCCATCCAGCTGTTGTCCCAGCTGTTGCACCAGCTGTCTCGCCAGCTGTTTTCCCAGCTGTCCATCCAGCTGTTGCACCAGCTGTCTCACCAGCTGTCTCGCCAGCTGTTGTCCCAGCTGTCCATCCAGCTGTTGCACCAGCTGTCTCAGCAGCTGTCTCACCAGCTGTCGCACCAGCTGTTGCACCAGCTGTCTCGCCAGCTGTCGCTGCCCCGGCTGGGACCGTCGCGACGGCGGTGAGGTTTGGGGAGGCGCCCCCGGAGTGGTCGTGCACCCACACGAAGCGGAAACTCAGGATGCCGGCGATGAGTCCGCAGATGCAGAGAGCAGAGAAGAGAATCATCTGGGCAAGGGGGGGGGGAGGAGAGGGGGTGGAGGAGGGGGAGGAGGGGCGGGGGGAGGAGGGGGAGGAGCGGGGTGAGGAGGGAGAGGAGGAGGGGGGAGGAGGAGCGGGGGGTGGAGGAGGGGGGGAGGGGGAGGAACGGGGCAAGGAGGAGGAGGAGTGGGGGGACGAGTGGGGGGACGAGGAGGGGGCGGAGGAGGGGGCGGAGGAGGGGGAGGAACGGGGCAAAAAGGAGGGGTGCGTTCCTGAAAGGGGTGACGAAAATTGAAACGACGTAAATCAAAGCTATTTACGGGGCAAGCACGGACATAAGTGGGAACTTATTTCGCTCCGTACGTAGCCAGCTGTGCTAATTGGAGGGTAGGTGGTGGTGGAGGTGGTGGTTGGTGGTCGTGGAGGTGGTGGTGGAGGTGGTGGTGGAGGTGGTGGTGGTGGTGGTGGAGGTGGTGGTGGAGGTGGTGGAGGGTGGTGGTGGTGGAGGTGGTGCTGGTGGAGATGGTGCTGGTGGTGGTGGTGGAGGTGGTGGTGGTGGTGGTGGAGGTGGTGGTGGTGGTGGAGGTGGTGGTGGAGGTGGTGGTGGAGGTGGTGGTGGTGGAGGTGGTGGTGGAGGTGGTGGTGGTGGTGGAGGTGGTGGTGGTGGAGGTGGTGGAGGTGGTGCTGGTGGAGGTGGTGCTGGTGGTGGTGGTGGTGGTGGAGGTGGTGGTGGTGGTGCTGGTGGTGGTGGTGGAGGTGGTGGTGGTGGTGGTGGTGGAGGTGGTGGTGGAGGTGGTGCTGGTGATGGTGGAGGTGGTGGTGGAGGTGGTGGTGGTGGTGGAGGTGGTGGTGGTGGTGGAGGTGGTGGTGGTGGAGGTGGTGGTGGAGGTGGTAGTGGAGGTGGTGGTGGTGGTGGAGGTGGTGGTGGTGGTGGAGGTGGTGGTGGTGGAGGTGGTGGTGGAGGTGGTGGTGGTGGTGGAGGTGGTGGTGGTGGAGGTGGTGGAGGTGGTGCTGGTGGAGGTGGTGCTGGTGGTGGTGGAGGTGGTGGTGGTGGAGGTGGTGCTGGTGGTGGTGGTGGAGGTGGTGGTGGAGGTGGTGGTGGAGGTGGTGGTGGAGGTGGTGCTGGTGATGGTGGAGGTGGTGGTGGAGGTGGTGGTGGTGGTGGAGGTGGTGGTGTGGTGGTGGAGGTGGTGGTGGTGGAGGTGGTGGTGGAGGTGGTGGTGGTAGTGGAGTGGTGGTGGTGGGTGGAGGTGGTGCTGGTGGAGGTGGTGCTGGTGGTGGTGGAGGTGGTGGTGGTGGAGGTGGTGGTGGTGCTGGTGGTGGAGGTGGTGGTGGTGGTGGAGGTGGTGGTGGTGGAGGTGGTGGTGGAGGTGGTGGTGGAGGTGGTGCTGGTGATGGTGGAGGTGGGTGGTGGAGGTGGTAGTGGTGGTGGAGGTGGTGGTGGTGGTGGAGGTGGTGGTGGTGGAGGTGGTGGTGGAGGTGGTAGTGGTGGTGGAGGTGGTGGTGGTGGTGGTGGAGGTGGTAGTGGTGGTGGAGGTGGTGGTGGTGGTGGTGGAGGTGGTAGTGGAGGTGGTGGTGGTGGTGGTGGTGGAGGTGGTGGTGGAGGTGATGGTGGTGGTGGAGGTGGTGGTGGAGGTGGTGGTGGTGGTGGTGGTGGAGGTGGTGGAGGTGGTGGTGGAGGTGGTGGTGGTGGAGGTGATGGTGGTGGTGGTGGTGGTGGAGGTGGTGGTGGTGGTGGTGGAGGTGGTGGTGGTGATGGTGGTGGTGGAGGTGGTGGTGGAGGTGGTAGTGGAGGTGGTGGTGGTGGTGGTGGTGGAGGTGATGGTGGTGGTGGAGGTGGTGGTGGAGGTGGTGGTGGTGGTGGTGGAGGTGGTGGTGGTGGTGGAGGTGGTGGTAGTGGAGGTGGTGGTGGAGGTGGTAGTGGAGGTGGTGGTGGAGGCGAAGGCTGAGAGACGACGGATAACGAGAAAAGACCTCCGATTAGCGCGGTTGGCTACGTACGGTGCGAAAGAAGTTCAACGCACGTACATACACAATGCACCAGATACTCATTTGAGGCTGAGTCGACCTAGGTGAGGCCCAGGACCGAATCAGACAATCGTCACTGATGTTGGTCGTGAGAGCGAGAGTCGGACCCGGGTCCCCAGGTTCATAGCGCAGTGCGATAACCACTACACCACCGCTCCCCATATCCTCACTACTGACAATGTACGCATAGGAAACGGGGGGGGGAAGCCTCGATAATAATTTGTCTACATTGGACCTCAAATGAGCCACAGTTCAGTGTCTCCAGCTGTCAGACAACAGGCACTGCCGGGCAGAGGTCGCAACCGGGTACCCGATACCCGTACCCTACCCGATACCCGGCTACCCGTACCCGGTCGGGTACGGGTAGCCGGGTATCACACTGCCTCTTCATCATCATCCTCCTCGTCCTCCTCGTCGTCAGCTCAGATTGAACTGATTGAGCGTTTAAACCACCACAAAGACAACGCATTTCGACGCCGTTGCTTTTCCACCACCCCTCCCTCCGTCCCTCTCTCCTCTTCCTCCTGCCCGCCACACAACTACGAGAGAGAAAAAAAATCGATGGACATCTCATGCGGCGGGGGCATCAATAATGCACGACCCACCGGTAACCACTTGCGGTACCATCGGCCGGTGAGTGGGGCTCTTATAGTTGCCTCAGCCACTCTGGCGCCGCGTCCACCTTACACGCGGACAGACTAAAGCGGAGTTTCAATAATTCATGCCTTGCTGGGATTCCGCGTGGCGTTTTTTGCATTTGTTGCGGCGATTTTAAAGCACCCCCTCCGCCCCCCTCGGTATATTAAATTTATGAATCGCATAATCAATACAGGGACTCGAACATTCGACTTCCAAACTTTCTGAGGGACGAAATAAACCTGGTCCGTATATCCAGTCGCCTGTTCGGACCGAGAGGAGTCAGTTCAACCACCCTGCAATTGATGGTAGTGGTGGTGGCATCTACATCTGCAGAACATGAAGACCCAGTGGCATCTACTTCTACAAAACATGAAGAACCAGTGGCATCTACATCTTCAGAACATGAAGAACCAGTGGCATCTACATCTTCAGAACATGAAGAACTGGTGGCATCTACATCTTCAGAACATGAAGAACCAGTGGCATCTACATCTTCAGAACATGAAGAACCAGTGGCATCTACATCTGCAGAACGTGAAGAACCAGTGGCATCTGCATCTTCAGAACATGAAGAACCAGTGGCATCTACATCTTCAGAACATGAAGAACCAGTGGCATCTACATCTGCAGAAATGGCATCTACATCTGCAGAATATGAAGAACCAGTGGCATCTACATCTGCAGAATATGAAGAACCAATGGCATCTACATCTGCAGAACGTGAAGAACCAGTGGCATCTACATCTGCAGAACGTGAAGAACCAGTGGCATCTACATCTGCAGAACGTGAAGAACCAGTGGCATCTCCATCTACAGAACGTGAATAACCAGTGGAATCTACATCTACAGAACACGAAGAACCATTAGCATCTACATCTGCAGAACGTGAAGAACCAGTGGCATCTACATCTGCAGAACGTGAAGAACTGGTGGCATCTACATCTACAGAACGTGAAGAACCAGTGGCATCTACATCTGCAGAACATGAAGAACCAGTGGCATCTACATTTACAGAACGTGAAGAACTGGTGGCATCTACATCTACAGAACGTGAAGAACCAGTGGCATCTACATCTGCAGAACATGAAGAACCAGTGGCATCTACATTTACAGAACGTGAAGAACTGGTGGCATCTACATCTACAAAACGTGAAGAACCAGTGGCATCTACATCTACAGAACGTGAAGAACCAGTGGCATCTACATCTACAGAACGTGAAGAACCAGTGGCATCTACATCTGCAGAACATGAAGAACCAGTGGCATCTACATCTACAGAACGTGAAGAACCGGTGGCATCTACATCTGCAGAACGTGAAGAACCAGTGGCATCTACATCTACAGAACGTGAATAACCAGTGGAATCTACATCTACAGAACACGAAGAACCATTAGCATCTACATCTGCAGAACGTGAAGAACCAGTGGCATCTACATCTGCAGAACGTGAAGAACCAGTGGCATCTACATCTACAGAACGTGAAGAACCGGTGGCATCTACATCTGCAGAACTTGAAGAACCAGTGGCATCTACATCTGCAGAACATGAAGAACCAGTGGCATCTACATCTACAGAACGTGAAGAACCAGTGGCATCTACATCTACAGAACGTGAAGAACCGGTGGCATCTACATCTGCAGAACATGAAGAACCAGTGGCATCTACATCTGCAGAACGTGAAGAACCAGTGGCATCTACATCTACAGAACGTGAAGAACCGGTGGCATCTACATCTACAGAACGTGAAGAACCAGTGGCATCTACATCTGCAGAACATGAAGAACCAGTGGCATCTACATCTACAGAACGTGAAGAACCGGTGGCATCTACATCTGCAGAACGTGAAGAACCAGTGGCATCTACATCTGCAGAACTTGAAGAACCAGTGACATCTACGTCTGCAGAACTTGAAGAACCAGTGGCATCTACATCTGCAGAACGTGAAGAACCAGTGGCATCTACATCTACAGAACGTGAAGAACCGGTGGCATCTACATCTGCAGAACTTGAAGAACCAGTGGCATCTACATCTGCAGAACATGAAGAACCAGTGGCATCTACATCTACAGAACGTGAAGAACCAGTGGCATCTACATCTACAGAACGTGAAGAACCGGTGGCATCTACATCTGCAGAACATGAAGAACCAGTGGCATCTACATCTGCAGAACGTGAAGAACCAGTGGCATCTACATCTACAGAACGTGAAGAACCGGTGGCATCTACATCTACAGAACGTGAAGAACCAGTGGCATCTACATCTACAGAACGTGAAGAACCGGTGGCATCTACATCTGCAGAACGTGAAGAACCAGTGGCATCTACATCTGCAGAACTTGAAGAACCAGTGACATCTACATCTGCAGAACTTGAAGAACCAGTGACATCTACATCTGCAGAACTTGAAGAACCAGTGGCATCTACATCTGCAGAACGTGAAGAACCGGTGGCATCTACGTCTACAGGAGATTAGACACCTTGTAAAGTAATTCCCCGTGTTCAGTGTACAATCCGTACAACGTGTTTGGGATCGACAGGAGTAAAGTTGGACTTACAAACAAATCGATTTACGAACGCAATAATTATAGTCCCCCCCCCCCGCCGCTTTGTCTGACCCACATCTCTCTCCCCGTGGTCACGTGGATTTTTCTCCGTGTCCTCCGGTTTTTCCCCTCCACATTTAGAATCTACATCACGCGTTTAGAGTATTTGACTGCTATATGTATAGTTATTTGGCGCCACGGTGGCTAGGAGATGTAAACTACCTCGCCTGGTCTACACGTGGTCGTGGGTTCGATCCCGACCCTGACGCCTGCTGCTGTATATTTGGAGTTTGCGTGTCTCTCTCTCTAATCATCACGGTGGCTCGGAGACGTTAACTACCTCGCCTGGTATAAAGGAGGTCGTGGGTTTGATCCTGACCCTGACACCTGCTGTATATTTGGAGTTTGTGTGTCTCTCTCTCATCATCACGGTGGCTAGGAGATGTTAACTACCTCGCCTGGTATACAGGAGGTCGTGGGTTCAATCCTGACACTGACGCCTGCTGTATATTTGGAGTTTGCGTGCATCTCTCTCTTTCGCTCATCACGGTGGTTAGATGTTAACTACCTCGCCTGGTCTACAGGAGGTCGTGGGTTCGATCCTGACCCTGACACCTGCTGTATATTTGGAGTTTGCGTGTCTCCCTCTCTCTTTGCGGTCGCGTGGAATTTCCCCCCCCCGCGTGTTTCCCCTCCACATTCAGAATCCACGTCACGCGCTATATAATTTCCACGCGACGGTGACCAGCCACTTTCCTTGGGCTATCGTTCGCGAGAGCCGACGTCGCTTCGTACAGCTCAGTGGGCCTGAGCCTGGTGAACACAGCGAAGGCGACCGCGGCGTTCCCACTCACCAGCCTCCCCGACTTCCTCTTCGCGCAGAAGACGCCGCACACGCCGCACAGCAGGAACTGCGGGGGGAGAGAGCGGTCACGGGGGGGGGGTGGGGGTCACGGGGGGGTGGGGGTCACGGGGGGGGGGAGAGTCACGGGGGTGGGGGTCACGGGGGGTGGGGGTCACGGGGGGGTGGGGGTCACGGGGGGGGGAGAGTCACGGGGGTGGGGGTCACGGGGGTGGGGGTCACGGGGGTGGGGGTCACGAGGGTGGGGGTCACGGGGGTGGGGGTCACGGGGGTGGGTGTCACGGGGGGGGGAGTCACGGGGGGGGTCACGGGGGTGGGGGTCACGGGGGGGGGAGTCACGGGGGGGGTGGGTGATGACGTAGCTACATTAACAAGTGATGACGTATTCGCAAGTGACGACGTATCTGCGAAACGACGTTAAAGGGGGGGGGAGTGAGACCTACATCTGGGTATCCTCTAAGCACTGCCCCCCTCCCTCCCACTCCACCGCCCCCCCCAAAGGTTTAAAACACTATTAGTAATAATAGTAATGGTAATGAGGGTTAATGCGGTGGGTGCGCTCAGGTTGTTACCCTGTGAGAGGCTGAGCGGGGGAGAGGGGGGAGGGAGCCGGGGGGCTCCTAAGTGGGGCAGCGCGACGGGACGAGCGGGGAGAGAAGCGGGGCGAGTGGGTGGGTGAGTGAGTGGGTGAGTGGGTGGGTGGGTGAGTGGGTGGGTGGGTGAGTGGGTGGGTGGGTGGGTGAGTGGGTGAGTGGGTGGGTGGGTGAGTGGGTGGGTGGGTGAGTGGGTGAGTGGGTGGGTGGGCGAGTGGGTGGGTGAGTGAGTGGGTGAGTGGGTGGGTGGGTGAGTGGGTGAGTGGGTGGGTGAGTGAGTGGGTGAGTGGGTGGGTGAGTGAGTGGGTGGGTGAGTGCGTGAGTGAGTGGGTGAGTGAGTGGGTGAGTGAGTGGGTGAGTAAGTGGGTGGGTGAGTGGGTGAGTGGGTGAGTGAGTGAGTGGGTGAGTGGGTGGGTGAGTGGGTGAGTGGGTGGGTGGGTGGGTAGTGGGTGGGTGGGTGAGTGGGTGAGTGGTGGGTGAGTGAGTGGGTGAGTGGGTGGGTGGGTGGGTGAGTGGGTGAGTGAGTGAGTGGGTGAGTGGGTGAGTGAGTGAGTGGGTGGGTGGGTGAGTGGGTGAGTGAGTGGGTGGGTGGGTGAGTGGGTGGGTGAGTGGGTGAGTGGGTGGGTGAGTGAGTGGGCGAGTGGGTGGGTGAGTGAGTGGGTGAGTGGGTGGGTGGGTGAGTGGGTGAGTGGGTGGGTGAGTGAGTGGGTGAGTGGGTGGGTGAGTGAGTGGGTGAGTGGGTGAGTGAGTGGGTGAGTGAGTGGGTGAGTAAGTGGGTGGGTGAGTGGGTGAGTGGGTGAGTGAGTGAGTGGGTGAGTGGGTGGGTGAGTGGGTGAGTGGGTGGGTGGGTGGGTGGGTGGGTGGGTGGGTAGGTGGGTGGGTGGGTGAGTGGGTGAGTGGGTGGGTGAGTGAGTGGGTGAGTGGGTGGGTGGGTGGGTGAGTGGGTGAGTGAGTGAGTGGGTGAGTGGGTGAGTGAGTGAGGGGGTGAGTGGGTGGGTGGGTGGAGTGGGTGAGTGAGTGGGTGGGTGAGTGGGTGAGTGAGTGGGTGAGTGAGTGGGTGAGTGGGTGGGTGGGTGAGTGGGTGGGTGAGTGAGTGGTGGGTGAGCTGGGGTGGGTGAGTGGGTGGGTGAGTGGGTGAGTGGTGGGTGGGTGCGTGGGTGAGTGAGTGGGTGAGTGAGTGGGTGAGTGGGTGAGGAGTGGGTGAGTAAGTGGGTGGGTGAGTGGGTGGGTGAGTGGGTGAGTGAGTGAGTGGGTGAGTGGGTGGGGAGTGGGTGAGTGGGTGGGTGGGGTGGGTGAGTGTGGTGGGTGAGTGGGTGAGTGGGTGGGTGGTGAGTGGGTGAGTGGGTGGGTGAGTGAGTGGGTGAGTGGTGGGTGGGGTGAGTGGGTGAGTGGGTGAGTGAGTGAGTGGTGTGAGTGGGGGGTGAGTGAGTGGTGGGTGAGTGGGTGGTGTGAGGGGTGAGTGAGTGGGTGAGTGAGTGGTGAGTGGGTGGTGGGTGAGGGGGTGAGTGGGTGAGTGGGTGGGTGAGTGAGTGAGTGGGTGAGTGGGTGAGTGGGTGGGTGAGTGGGTGGGTGAGTGGGTGGGTGGGTGAGTGGGTGAGTGGGTGAGTGAGTGGGTGAGTGAGTGGGTGAGTGGGTGAGTGAAGTGGGTGAGTGAGTGGGTGAGTGAGTGGGTGGGTGAGTGGGTGGGTGAGTGAGTGGGTGAGTGGGGTGGGTGAGTGGGTGAGTGGGTGGGTGGGTGAGTGGGTGAGTGGGTGGGTGAGTGAGTGGGTGAGTGGGTGGGTGAGTGGGTGAGTGAGTGAGTGGGTGAGTGGGTGAGTGAGTGAGTGAGTGGGTGGGTGGTGAGTGGGTGAGTGAGTGGGTGGGTGAGTGGGTGAGTGAGTGGGTGAGTGAGTGGGTGAGTGGGTGGGTAAGTGGGTGAGTGAGTGGGTGAGTGAGTGGGTGAGTGAGTGGTGGGTGGGTGGGTGGGTGAGTGGGTGAGTGGGTGGGTGAGTGGGTGAGTGGGTGGGTGGGTGAGTGGGTAGGTGGGTGAGTGGGTGAGTGAGTGGGTGAGTGAGTGAGTGGGTGGGTGAGTGAGTGGGTGGGTGAGTGGGTGGGTGAGTGGGTGAGTGAATGGGTGGGTGAGTGGGTGAGTGAGTGAGTGGGTGAGTGAGTGAGTGGGTGAGTGAGTGGGTGGGTGAGTGGGTGGGTGAGTGGGTGAGTGAGTGGGTGAGTGAGTGGGTGAGTGGGTGGGTGAGTGGGTGAGTGGGTGAGTGAGTGAGTGAGTGGGTGGGTGGGTGGGTGAGTGGGTGGGTGGGTGGGTGGGTGAGTGGGTGGGTGAGTGGGTGGGTGAGTGAGTGGGTGAGTGGGTGAGTGAGTGGGTGAGTGAGTGGGTGAGTGGGTGGGTGAGTGGGTGAGTGGGTGGGTGAGTGAGTGGGTGAGTGGGTGGGTGAGTGAGTGGGTGAGTGGGTGGGTGGGTGGGTGAGTGGGTGGGTGAGTGGGTGGGTGAGTGGGTGGGTGAGTGAGTGAGTGGGTGAGCGAGTGTGTTGCTCTGACGCAGTGTGGTGAGTGACTGAGTGAGAGGGTGCGAGTCAATGGGTGAGTCAGTGGGTGACCCGCAGTGTGGTGAGTGGGTTGGTGGGTGAGTGGGTGGGTTGGTGAGTCAGCAGGTGAGTGGGTGGGCGAGTGAGTCAGTGAGTGAGTGGGTGGGCGAGTGAGTGGGTGGGTGAGTAGGTGGGCGAGTGAGTGGGTGGGCGAGTGAGTGGGTAGGCGAGGCAGCGGGTGAGTGGGTGGGCGAGTGAGTGGGTGGGTGAGTGAGTGGGCGGGTGAGTGAGTAGGTGGGCGAGTGAGTGGGCGGGCTAGTGAGTGGATGGGCGAGGCAGCGGGTGAGTGGGTGGGCGAGTGAGTGGGTGGGTGAGTGGGTGAGTCAGCGGGTGAATAGGTGGGTGAGTCAGCGGGTGGGTGAGTGAGTGGGTGGGCCATCGGGTTGGTGAGTGAGTGAGTGGATGAGTCAGCGGGTGAGTGGGTGGGCGAGTGGGTGAATGAGCGAGTGAGCGGTTGGATCATCTCGTTGATTATTCGCTCAGAGCTCCCGTCACAGTTGACGGATTCGAATCGACACGCGCGGTCCAAAAAGCTTTCTAATTCACTCGATGTTGTTACCCCCCCCCCCCCCCACAGGCGCTGATTGTACATCGGTCATAGCCCTGGGCTTAAAACAATACAAACACACACACACGTATAAAAAAAACACACGAATAAAAACCCACACATACACAAGAGTTAAATGTTAAAAAAAAACCTTGTCGCATTGCAGTGCCCAAGAGCAATGGGAGTGATGTGGCGATGCGACAAGACGACGACTCTCTCGCCTACCCCCCCCCCCGCCGTGGAAGTGTGACAGCGATTGTTGCCTGTGGTGGCAATAAGGCTGAGTGTGGTGAGTGTGTGGTGAGTGTGGTGAGTGTGTGGTGAGTGTGTGGTGAGTGTGGTGAGTATGTGGTGAGTGGTGAGTGTGTGGTGAGTGTGTGGTGAGTGTGTGGTGAGTGTGGTGAGTGTGTGGTGAGTGTGTGGTGTGTACGGGGAGCGGTGGTGTAGCGGTTAGCACGCTGCGATACGAACCCGGCGACCAGGGTTCGATTCCCGCTCACGGTCAACACCCAGTTGACGATTGTCTGAACCGGTCCTGGGCCTCCTCTAGGTCGACTCAGCCTCAAATGAGTACCCGGTGCGGTGTGTAAACGTCGCCACTGGGGAGACAAAGGCGGTCGGGGGTGGTGCTGGCCACCCACCCCCTCGTGTACCGTTCTGGCCTTCATAGGTGCTTGCTAATAGCACTTGCCCCTACAGTCTGTTCAGACTATACGGGGGATCTTTGACTTTGTCTGTGTGTCTGTGTGTCGTGGGCGATTAGGTGTTACAAGCACACCCTGTGGTTGTGGATCAGTGTGCGTGGTGTGGATGTGAATTATGTAATTCACGCGTATAACAACCACAAAGATCCCCCGGATAGCATGTAGCAGAATGTTGGAGCAAGTGTTGTTTGCGAGTAGTAGCACCTATAAAGGCCGGCACACCACGCCCGGCCGCCTTTGTCTCCCCAGTGGCGATCTTTACACACCGCACCAGGTACTCATGTGAGGCTGAGTCGACCTAGGGGAGGCCCAGGACCGGTTCAGAATAATCGGCACCGGTGTTGGTCCTGAGCGGGAATCGAACTCGGGTCGCCCGGTTCGTAGCATAGCGCCCCACTACAATCCGTACACACCTGTACACACACACCTGTACACACACCCTGTACACACACACACCTGTACACACACACCTATACACAGACATACAGACACCGATACACACATGTACACACAGACACACACACCGACATAGACACACACATAGACACACACATAGACACACACATAGACACACACATAGATACACACAGACAAACACACTGACGTACAACACAAAAACACACATAGATACACACACACAGACACACAGACACACACACCTAAACCACTGCACCACCGCTCCTCTCAAACACATCAGCTCCCCGTGCCCCCCGCAACTCACGCAAACTCCGCTCCACAGGGGGGCCCCGTGCCCCAGGCGGACCGGCTGGGCCCCCCGCAGCGCCCAGGCCACGGATGCGGCCCCCAGGGCGATGCTTGCGAGGCCGCAGGCCACCTCGAGCAGGGCGCAGGCCAGCATGCAGGCCAGCACGTGGCGCGTGGGGCACATCGCTCCAGTCGGCGGGACGCAGCCACCAGCAGCAGCAGCAGCAACAACCAACAACTACCACCACCAATAACCACCCCAACCAACAACCAACGACCACCACCAATCACTCACTCAATAACCACCACCAACAACAACAACCACCACCAAGAACCAATAACCACCCCAACCAACAACCGCCACCAATCACTCACTCAGTAACCACCCCAACCACAACCACCACCAACCACCACCAACCACCTCGTTCTTCCTCTGCAGGCTTCTTGAGACAACGTCAGACCAGCCCCCACCGCCTCGCATCCCCCTTTCTTCAGCCAGCCAGAGCCTCTTGGAGGTTAGCTCGCCAGACAGACAGTCAGTCAGTTAGACAGACAGTCAGTCTGTCAGCCAGTCATACAGTCAGTCAGACAGTCATTCAGACAGTCAGCCAGTCATTCAGACAGTTAGACAGTCAGTCAGCCAGTCATACAGCCAGTCAGACAGTCAGCCTGCCAGTCATTCAGACAGTCAGATAGCCAGCCAGTCAGACAGTCAGTCAGTCAGACAGTCAGACAGTCAGTCAGCCAGTCATACTGACAGAAAGCCAGTCAGTCAGATAGCCAGCCAGTCAGTCAGCCAGTTAGACAGTCAGACAGTCAGTTAGACTGACGTCAGACAAGCCAGTCAGACAGTCACATAGACTGACAGTCATATTCACGAAATCTTCAAATCTAGACTGACAGTCCGCCGCATCTGCGACTATCGCGGTTGGCTGCGTACGGCGCGAAAGAAGTGCAACACACGCGTGCACAGCAGAGCGGGTCGGCGTGAACCCAGCCCCCACATCTGTCCACCCACGTGTGCAGAGGAACAGCGCAGCAAGCGGTCATCCGGCCACACCTCTTCATGCAGCCTCCTCCTGCTCCTCCACGGTCAAGCTGGCACCTCTTCAGTCAGCGAGACGACCTCTCTTCAGCTCATCCAGACAGCACATCCTCATCCAAACAGCACCCCCTCAAACCCTTAGGTTTTTCCGGTAAAGTCACGTAGGTAAAAATGAATAATACAAATAAATAATACAATGATAGAAATGATAGGAGAAATAAAATATTTTATTTCTATTTTATTTCTACTATTATTTCTGTCATTTTATTATTTTATTTCTACTATTATTTCTATCATTTTATTATTTTATTTCTATTATTATTTCTACCATTTATTATTCATCAGTATTATTTTTTTTTTCCTACGTGACTTTTAACGAAAAAACCTAATAGTATCAATCCTTGCAGGCACGAAAGCTTCAAATCTAGAATGAGCACCTCCTCACCCAGACAGTGCCTCTTCAGACAGCCAGCCACAGTCAGCACCCTCCTCATCAGCCACACCTCGTCAGCTAGAGCCTCATCAGCCAGGCATTGCACCAGACCCCCTCCCCACCTCTTCTCTCCTCCACAAGGCAGCTCCCGGCAGACAAACGCGTGCGTGCTGTGTGCGTGGCTGCGAACAGTGAGCGCGATTGCCAACCCTGTGTGTGTGTTAACCCTGTGTGTGTGTGTTAACTCTGTGTGTTAACCCTGTGTGTGTTAACTCTGTGTGTGTGTGTTAACTCTGTGTGTGTTAATTCTGTGTTAACCCTGTGTGTCTGTTAACCTGTGTGTGTGTTAACCCTGTGTGTTAACACTGTGTGTGTGTTAACCCTATGTGTGTGTGAGTGTTAACCCGTGTGTGTCTGTTAACCCGTGTGTGTTAACCCGTGTGTGTGTTAACCCTGTGTGTGTTAACGCCGTGTGATAACTGTGTGATTGTTAACTCGTGTGTTAACCCCGTGTGTGTAATTGTTAACCCTGTGTGTTATTGTTTACCCGTGTGTGTGTTAACCCCGTGTGTGTGATTGCACTGTGTAACAAGTGTATTTTTTGTTCCTGGGCAGTAAAGTGTTACACTGGTAGGAACCTCCTGGATCCACCAGCCCACAGGGGATTATTGTGTCCGTCCGTCGTGCATCCAAGAATGGGAGGGGTGGGGCAGGATGGAGAGTGGGGAGGGGCTGGGTGGGGAGGGGCTGGTCACCCCGTGGTGCCCTTATAAAACTCAACGTTTAACCTACTCACGCCGGCTTGTGCCCGCCCTCACAGTCGGGCATATTTGCGGAATACACCACGCCGCCGTTGACCCTGGCCATTGACCGAGCAACCCAACGTTCCTACCAGCTCCCTCCGCAGGAATATTTTCCTAATTGCTGATGCCTCAAAAGTACAGCTAATGGCTATTATTCTCCACAAACTTTGGTTTTGTGACCAGGACAGTGATATTTTGAAATTGACCGATTTTCAATGAGAAAACGTGTGCATGTGTCTTTTCGTTCATATAAAGTAAAAAAAAAACTACATATGAATCATCATTAACATGTATTTATACTAAAGAAATAAAAAATGACTACAAAATATGTAGACACCAAGACCCACTACCACAGGCGGGACTGGCCACAGCGGACCGAGTTCTCTGCTGTTCGGGAGGAACAGTCTCTCTCAACAGTTGAGTGAAGACTGCCCGCATCGCGAGCTGCCATTATTTCTGTGGCGTTATCATAACGGAATGTCTGCACCTTGCCCCGATGATGAGCGACGTCGCTTCAAGCGGGAACGTCGTCGAGTCTAATTTGGCCGCTCGCTTTGCAACTCGCCCGCTCATCTCAGTCACACCCACCGGGAGCCCAAGATCCTCCTCCACGTTGAACAACAAGCATCAGACGACCACAACGGCTCCACAGAAGGCAAAATTCATTTTAATTCACTTGAAGGGTTCAAGGAAATGACAACACGGACACTCTATACTTCAACAAGCAAGGAAAACAACAATGGAATCAACACAAAGTGAACACTTCAAGCGGCTATTTAACTGCGATTGCTCGGTGGGGAAATGCCGAGGTGGCGGGATGTTGTCGCCCTCGCCTGGTATGCGGGAGGTCGTGGGTTCGGTCCTGACCCTGACGCCTGCTGCTGTATATTTGGGAGTTCGATTGTTATCTCTGTGGTTGCATTAACTTTCCTCCGGGTCCTCCGTTTTTTCCCTCCACATTTAGAAAGGTGCGTTTAGATTATGTGGCTGCTGTAAGTGTCCACGTGATGAGAAGCTGCTTCTGAATAACCGCTAAAAGCTCAGTGGGCTTTACCTGGTCAAATAAAATGCGGTTTTTAAAATAGTTTAGTTTAGCTTATAACCTCCGCAACACAAGCTGTGGATATTCTTAGGTTTTTTCGGTAAAGCCACGTAGGTAATTTTTTAAACATTTTTTATAAATAGAAAATAATAAAAATCACGACGTTTCGGAGGCAACACAAGTCTCCGTCATCAGGTGGGACCGTCACAGCTCGATTTACTGTATCACTTGATACAGTAAATCTAGCTGTGACGGTATCACTTGATACAGTAAATCTGGCTGTGACGGTCCCACCTGATGACGGAGACTTGTGTTGCCTTCGAAACGTCGTGATTTTTATTATTTTATTTCTATTATTACTTCTATGAATTTTAATTTTATTTTTTTACCTACGTGACTTTACCGAAAAAACCAAAGAGTATGAATCCTTGTAGTCACGAAAGCTTCAAATCTAGAAGCTGTGGCTACACACCGAACCTCGACGCCTTCGGCCGAGCGGCAATGCGAAAACAAAATTGAGCCTGAACAACCGCGGCCAAAAGCTACGCGGTCACAACGCTTACGTTTCAAATTCAATGTCAAGAGCGCTTACTTTTTCAATTCACACAGCCAAGACCGGGCGTGGTGGGGTCAGCAACAAAAATAACAGGAGCAGCCGTTTTTTTTTTCTAATTCGGTAACAACAAAAAATGTATTTCAAGAGGCGCAATGCACGTGAATAACGTCACGTAGCGGTCCTCAAAGAGCCACATGCGGCACCGATACAACAGCCTGCAAGGTTTGCCGACTCCTGGCCAAGACATTTCGGAAACAAAAATGTTTTATTTCAAAATGCATGTGAATAACGCCAACGAAGAGATTCCTCAAGGAGCTGTGGGTTCCTGACCCATGGCCAAAACAAACCCCCACATATTTGGGCCGCAGTGATGGCCTTAATGTTAACACACGTCCTTCCCCAAATTGACTTTAATTCACAACCGCATTCCCCATCCGTTATGTACAAACGATGCACGCTGTGGCTTTGTTGGGGTGCTCCTGCCAATGACGACGGGCAACCCGGCAGCATTTGTGTTCACAAGCCTCGCTCTGCTGACGAGACTCAAGAAGTTGAAACCGGTCCAGAGTCTGCTTGCTTAGGCAAATGCTGCTGAGTAAAGGTGTTCTGGAAAGCCAACAGGGTGTGGACCGGTTGTGCTTCTGTATGCATTGGCACTTAACTTCCATTGGTGGTAATTTACGATGCTACAAAATTAGAAATGCAGGGTGGTGCAGTAGTGAACGCGGCCACACTACGATCCCTGACAAACTTGAGCTCGATTCCCGGTCATTGCTAACAGCAGCGGCGAGCGATATCTGAAGGAGCCCCATACAACCCGCATCCACTTCATCGAACCACACTGACCAGCGTGGTGAAGTATGGTCAAGCAACCCCCACAACTGATACGGTGTGCGGCGGATGCCTTCATTCAGCGGCGGATTGACAAAAACTGCAATTTCTTATTTTACATTTAGAAAGACACGAATTAAATTAGCGCGGTTGGCTACGTACGGTGTGAAAGAAGGTCAACGTCACGCAATTATAAATTAAGAGAGCACAATAAGCAGCAATGGATTACGCTGTTTGTGATGTACAAATATATCGCGGAGCAGATCAGGATTTGAACCACCAATCGAGAACACGAGTCAGGCGAGTCACCTCTCCGCTATGACTCTTAACTCCATCGCCTGGTATGCAGGCGGTCGTGGGTTCGATCCTGACCCCGACACTTGCTGCTGTATATGTGGAGTTTGCACATCTCTCTCTCTCTCCGTGGTCGCGTGGATGATGAGCCACTTCGTTGAGCTATTAGTTGAGATAGCCAGGTCGCTTTTGAAAGAGCTCCAGTAAAAGCTTGGGTTGCGAGTAACTTGGTCTGCGAGTGTTTTGCAAGACGAGCACATTTTTAAGTAAATATTATTTTTAAAAACGAGCGAGGTCTTGCAATACGAGCAGTGCGTGTATACGCTGTCTGCCGAGCGTCACGTGATCACAACTGATATACTAATGCTTTGATATGAGTGTTTTGGATTATAAAACACGTTTCCAGAACGAATTATGCTCGCAATCCAAGGTTTCACTGTATGTAGCTCAGTGGCCCTTACCTGGTAAAATTAAAATAGTTTAGTTTAAATTTATAACCAAGCCAATACCTCTTTTCCATTTGCACATCTGAGCTGTGCTGGGGCCATGCCGGGTTAGCACTGCACAGGTCAGGAAATCCGGGTTTATTTTCCACTGCACAAGTAGAGCCGTGCCGCTGACGTTACGCGACTCATGACCGTAAGACGCGCGGTTGCAAACGACGCAGGCGACGCGAAAACACGCATCGTGCGCACGTCACGAGGCCCCGCTCCTAGCGCGGATTTGTCCCGTGAAGCCAGCGTTAAGGGCGGCTTCGGTTCCGGCTCGGCAACAGGGAAAACTACCCGTGCCGTGCTGGCCCAGTGCCGGCACGGCTCAAGATGTGCCGGTGGAGGAAGGGGTACAAGTCTCAATATACGTAAATCCCACCGCCGTGGGTACTTTATTGGGTGGTGGTACGAAGTAACGATTAACGTCGAAATATGATTAAGCTCACCGATACGCGAGAAGAATCGAGCACGTGTGAAAATCGATGCTTTTCGACCCGTATGCGTTGTGTGTTCTTGAGTTTGCATCACCCTTGTGGCCAACCTGACCACCTGAATGTGAGATTGTCGGAGGCGTCGTTGTTCTGCTGCATCCACAACAGCTGTACGACGAGAAGAAGACCCCTTGCAGCCACTAGAGGCGCCATTTCACCCGAATCGAACCATGCACGAGCGCACGGTGAAACCTCTTTCGCCACCGTACGTAGCCAACCGTGCTCACCGCGACTCTGGAATGGGATCGCGACAATTCGTGGAACTGCCGAGGCGGGTGAACCCGCTCCGTCCGCTGTGAGTTAAGACCCCCCCCCAACTCCGCCACTCCACCGTGTGCTGGTTTGGGGTTGACCGGTCGACGGGGGGCTCGAACGACAGAGGTCATCACATGTTCAGTTGCTCCGGCAGGTAGAACTGGGAGAAGTCCTGGCTAATCTTGATGGCCTCGTTGTACAGGTTGAGGTCTGCGACGAGACAGGAGAGAAACGCGAAAGGGAGAAGAGGAAACCACGGTCGTTACGGCGCAAGGCATCTTGCGTGGGGGCGGGGGTCAGCGGTGAGGGGAGGTACGACCCAATGATGGCGGCTAGTTTCCATTGCACAGCGAGCCGTGACGGGGGGGGGGGGGCGCCCGTGTTGAGCCAGCACCCCCCCAGAAGAGCATTCCAGACGGCCACAGAAGCGCATCTGAAAGCGCGCGATGCAGTGATGAAGCACCTACACCGATTCGTCGCTCAATCTCCTCGGTTGATGTCCTCTTGGACACATTCCATTCCTTGGCTGGCACTCCCGTTATTACATTTGACCATCGGCCTTCATACCTTTTGGCCGTGACGTGTTCTGCCCATGCCCGCCCGCTCACTCTTCCGAGTAGTTAGAATGGTGTCAATCACCGTTGTATTTACTCGAATGCATGCGTTTCTCCTTCCGTCTCTCGGGTCTAACCCACACACGGATCTCTCCAAGCTGCTTTGCAGGACTGCCCCGTGGCGTCTCACCACCGACCCTGCCTCCCAAGTCTCTGCTCCGCGAGTACGTGCTGGCAACTGCACGGTGTGCGGTGGGGGTGTGGTGAAGGCGCAGTGGAGGTGCGGCGGCAGTGTGGTGGGGGGTGCAGTGGCAGAGCGGTGGAGGTGTGGTGGGTGATGCAGTGGGTGATGCAGTGGGTGATGCAGTGGGTGATGCAGTGGGTGATGCAGTGGGTGATGCAGTGGGTGATGCAGTGGGTGATGCAGTGGGGGTGCGGTGGCAGAGCGGTGGGTGATGCAGTGGGTGATGCAGTGGGTGATGCAGTGGGTGATGCAGTGGGTGATGCAGTGGGGGTGCGGTGGCAGAGCGGTGGGTGATACAGTGGGTGATGCAGTGGGTGATGCAGTGGGTGATGCAGTGGGGGTGCGGTGGCAGAGTGGTGGGTGATGCAGTGGGTGATGCAGTGGGTGATGCAGTGGGTGATGCAGTGGGGGTGCGGTGGCAGAGCGGTGGGTGATGCAGTGGGTGATGCAGTGGGTGATGCAGTGGGTGATGCAGTGGATGATGCAGTGGGTGATGCAATGGGTGATGCAGTGGGTGATGCAGTGGGGGTGCGGTGGCAGAGCGGTGGGTGATGCAGTGGGTGATGCAGTGGGGGTGTGGTGGGTGATGCAGTGGATGATGCAGTGGGTGATGCAGTGGGTGATGCAGTGGGTGATGCAGTGGGTGATGCAGTGGGTGATGCAGTGGGTGATGCGGTGGCAGAGCGGTGGGTGATATGCAGTGGGTGATGCAGTGGGTGATGCAGTGGGTGATGCAGTGGGTGATGCAGTGGGTGATGCAGTGGGTGATGCAGTGGGTGATGCAGTGGGGGTGCGGTGGCAGAGCGGTGGGTGATGCAGTGGGTGATGCAGTGGGGGTGTGGTGGGTGATGCAGTGGGTGATGCAGTGGGGGTGTGGGTGGGTGATGCAGTGGGTGATGCAGTGGGTGATGCAGTGGGTGATGCAGTGGGTGATGCAGTGGGTGATGCAGTGGGTGATGCAGTGGGTGATGCGGTGGGTGATGCAGTGGGGGTCCGGTGGCAGTGGGTGGGGGATGAGTGGGGGTGCGGTTGGTGGAGCTGTGCGTATGCGGAGTGGTGGCGGTGCGGTGGGGGTCTCACCGAAGGGCACCTTGTCCTCCCGGATGCGCTCGTAGCTCAGGCATTGCAGCGAGCCCTTGTGGGTGACGCGAGCCGCCACGTCCACCACCCCACTCAGCAATTCGTCCAGCTGCGGAACGAACACGCCCACGCACGCACGCAATGAGCAATGTTTGCCGTGTGTGTGATATCCCAATTAAAACATTCGGAGGGTAATTCTTCTGACGGGCTACGCCGCCGCAACACAATGGGCGGCCTGGTCAATTCGAATGAGGTCACGCGATCTTTCACGTCCGTGGTGCGTACACGCCCGCAGCATTAACCGGGACGGCCTGCCGCGTTCGGACCACGAGCACCTGCAAGAAGCAGCGAATGGCGCTTGCTCTGAGCTTTGTCACACGGTGACAAGTGGACCTCGGTTCACAGGGCCAATTGTCCCCCCCCCCTCCTCACACAATCGCGCGATGGTGTGTGGGGGGGGCATAACACAAACTTCGGTCATCCCCGTAGCGGTTTTGGCTGGCCAGCGAACAAAGTGGGACACCGCATCGCACGCGCGCGTTCAGATGCGTTTTTCCAGCTCTTCCTTCCGATATTAGGAAGCCGCTGCTATTTTAAATAATCTAAATTGAAAACTCATCACTTTAGAACTGCTTTTTATGTTCAGTTTGTTGTCTTTCCCCTGCTCCTCCGATCAGTGCGGTTGGCCACGTACAAGTGGTGGTGACATTACCACACTGCTTGTGCCAGGCTAGGTGCACTTTAACGCCACGTGAAGTGTTGAACGACCGCTGGCAGGTCACGGGACAGACCCGGGTGCTATCGGTTGATGGACAGAATCAGAATACTGGAGGAATCCGATGAGCTATAAATCTCTTTTTCACAGATGTCCACCTGTCATCCTCTCACTGAATCCCCCCACCCCACCGTAACAAAGTACTACTATTTATATTTTACCAGGTAAGGTCCTCTGAGCTATACAGTTCTTTTTCAGAAGCGACATGGCCACAAACGTTAGCTCAACTTAGTTGCTTATCGCGTGGAAATGTACAGCAGCCAAATACTCTAAAACGCACGTTTTTCAATGTGGATGGGAAAACCGGAGGACCCGAAGAAAATACGCGACCACGGGGAGAGAGAGAGACATGCAAACTCCAAATATACAGCAGGCGTCAGGGTTGGGATCGAACTCACAACCTCCTGTACACCAGGCGAGGTAGTTAACATCTTCTAGCCACCGTGATAATGATGCGAGAGAGAGACACGCAAACTCCAAATATACAGCAGCAGGCGTCAGGGTCGGGATCGCACCACGACCTCCTGTATACCAGGCGAGGTAGTTAACATCTCATAGAACCCGTGCCGCCTCTCTCCGCACCGGTGCCTGCATCTCCACGGTGATGTTCTGGCCATCTCCGTCGCTCATTGTGAAGCTCGAACCGGACTGGTGAACCTTGGGGAAGGAGAGGCCAAGGGGAGGGTCAGTCACAGGGCAGGCAGTCACCACTGTCGCTTCACGTTCACCCATCTTGTCTTCTTAACGTGACATCTTATCTCGTGATACAAATGGCAAACGCGAGTGTGGAGTGTGCATGTGGAGTGTGAGTGAGGAGGTGTGCGTGTGCGCAGTGTTCATGTGCTCGGGTAAATGTGAGGTGTGTGTGTGCGCAGTGTTCATGTGCTCGGGTGAATGTGAGGTGTGAGCGTGGGGTGTGAGTGCGGACAGCGAGAGAGGTGTGAATGTGGCGTGAGTACGAGTGGATTGGGCGAGTGGTGGGTGGGTTGGGTGAGTTGTGGGTGGGTGAGTTGGGTGAGTGGCGAGTGGGTGGGGTTGGGTGAGTAGTGGGTGGGTGGGTTGGGTGAGTTGTGGGTGGGTGAGTTGGGTGAGTGGTGGGTGGCAAGTGGGTGAGTGGCGAGTGGGTGGGTTGGGTGAGTGGGTGAGTGGGTGGGTTGGGTGAGTAGTGGGTGAGTGGGTTGGGTGAGTAGTGGGTGGCGAGTGGGTGAGTTGGGTGAGTAGCGAGTGGGTGAGTTGGGTGAGTGAGTGGGTTGGGTGAGTAGTGGGGTGGGTGGGTTGGGTGAGTTGTGGGTGGGTGAGTGGGGTGAGTGCGTTAGTTGGGGTGAGTTGGGCGAGTGGCGAGTGGGTGAGTTGTGGGTGGTGGTGAGTGGCGAGTGGGTGGGTTGGGTGAGTAGTGGGTGGATGAGTTGGGTGAGTGGCGAGTGGGTGAGTAGTGGGTGGATGAGGTTGGGTGAGTGGCGAGTGGGTGGGTTGGGTGAGTTGGTGGGTTGGGTGAGTTGGTGGGTTGGGTGAGTAGTGGGTGAGTGGGTTGGGTGAGTGGGTGAGTGGCGAGTGGGGTGAGTAGTGGTGGGTGGGTTGGGTGAGTGGCGAGTGAGTGGGTTGGGTGAGTAGTGGGTGGGTGGGTTGGGGTGAGTAGTGGGTTGGGTGAGTGGCGAGTGGGTGGGGTTGGGTGAGTTGTGGGTGGGTGAGTTGGGGTGAGTGGCGAGTGGGTGGGTTGGGTGAGTAGTGGGTGGGTGGGTTGGGTGAGTTGTGGGTGGGTGGAGTTGGGTGAGTGGCGAGTGGGGTGGGGTTGGGTGAGTAGTGGGGTGGGTGGGTTGGGTGAGTTGTGGGTGGGTGAGTTGGGTGAGTGGCGAGTGGGTGGGTTGGGTGAGTGGGTGGGTTGGGTGGTGAAGTAGTGGGTGAGTGGGTTGGGTGAGTAGTGGGTGGCGAGTGGGTGAGAGTTGGGTGAGTAGCGAGTGGGTGAGTTGGGTGAGTGAGTAGTGAGTAGTGAGTGGGTGAGTGGCGGGGGTGGTGAGTGAGTGGTAGTGGGATGAGTGAGCGAGCGAGGCCCGCGTGTCCACCCCACCTGCTCCACTTTCCCGAGGAATTGCCCCACCTTGCCCACGTACTGGGACAGCGTGCTGGTGTTCACGCGCGCTCGCATCCCACTGGTCGCGTCCATGGCTCGTCACTCGTCAAAGAATCAACAACTTTATAAAATGTTCTCGACTTCTCCTCACAAACTCAACACGAAGCCCCGAGGTGAGAATGCGGCCCGGACGACGACGCGGAGGGAGAATTTTGGCGGGAAAGTCGCCAACCCCCAAATCCCAGAATCCGCGCTGCAGAGGAAGCAGGACGTGACGTCACGGCTATATATTAAAAAAATAACATTATACGCGATAAATATTGTTGACTAAAATTAGTTTGGTAAAGGGAATAAGCCAACGTATAGAAGTAATGTTATTGTTAGAATGTGGAGAACGTTTAAAAAAATGTTTTAAATACATCCAGCTATGTTGCCAGATCAGAGGTTTAACCTCCAGCCGCATATTGTTCAAATGGTTAGAAACTCAATAAGTTCGCCTCAGGGGAGAAGGGGGAAAAACCCCAATGTAATGTCGACGTTTCGGGAAAACGGCCCCTTCTCCTTCGCGGCGCATAAATAATGCGGGCAGTTTTGTGTTTTAGCATTGTGGTGAATGCGGACGGATGTCAACCTCCGCTTCTTCACTGGCACCACGAAAGGGGACATTGAAAAAAACTCACAACATTAACTCGGCGTTCACTACAAACACATTCCTCCTCCTCCTGCGGTGGGTGCTGGTAGAACGTCGTGGTTGCTCGGTCAATGGCCTGCAGGGTCAACGGCGGCGTGGTGTATTCCGCAAATATGCCCGACTGTGAGGCGGGCACAAGCCGGCGTGAGTAGGTTAAAACGTTGAGTTTTATAAGGGCACCACGGGGTGACCAGCCACTCTCCACGCAGCCCCTCCCCACCCAGCCCCCACCCACCCCCCACCCAGCCCCTCCCCACCCAGCCCCTCCCACCCCCCACCCAGCCCCTCCCCACCCAGCCCCTCCCACCCCCCACCCAGCCCCTCCCCACCCAGCCCCTCCCACCCCCCACCCAGCCCCTCCCCACCCAGCCCCTCCCACCCCCCACCCAGCCCCTCCCCACCCCCCCCCCACCCAGCCCCTCCCACCCCCCACCCAGCCCCTCCCCACCCAGCCCCTCCCACCCCCCACCCAGCCCCTCCCCACCCAGCCCCTCCCACCCCCCACCCAGCCCCTCCCCACCCAGCCCCTCCCACCCCCCCCCACCCACCCAGCCCCTCCCCACCCCTCCCCACCCAGCCCCTCCCACCCCCCACCCAGCCCCTCCCCACCCTCCCCTCTCCCATTTGTTGATGCACGACGGTCGGACGGACGCAAAATCCCCTGTGGGCTGGTGGAACCAGGTGGTTCCTGCCAGTAATAAATATAGACAACACGTTCTACTTAATTAAATAAACTTTTTAATAAATGATTTCTCCTACAACATCAGAGTGCAGCGCCACATTAAATACGCACTACAATGACAATAGTTTAAAGCCATTTGAAGCATGGTTTTTTTGGGGGGGGTGGGG